GACTGCATTACGAAGATCTGATGGCAGTTTACCTTGTTCCTAACAATTTTCGATGAGTTCATGAAATCTGGCATGAAATGCTTATCCTTCCTGCTTCCAGACTTCAGATGGGATTACATCAATTCATCTGCTTTGCAGTTTTCAGCTGCTCTATGGCTTATGATTCTTTCCCACACTGGGGGATTACGTTCGGTTCAACTTTCACCGGTTGTTGTATACTATGCTGAATTGCTCAGCTTTGGACTATGCGGTTGACATTGAAAAGAGTCTGGAAGTGTTCGATTATCGATTCAGGATGGACATTTTACTTGTGACAAGCATATGGCCATCAGGCTACTTGGTCATTCAGGGTGTTCCCGAACAAGACCATCACTTCTTTGGCCAGTCTTGAACTATCAATGTCCTAAATCGCCTGCATACAAAGTTGGGTCTGCGATTCCCAGCGCACCTTTTCACCCGCCGTTTCGTCTTGTTAAATACAGGACTTTATAAATGTGGGTATACCCTTCGAGTCTGTGCAGTGACCTTTTTGGGTAGGGCACGCATACGCGGAACCGCCTTTTTACACCGGTTCATCTGCCAGGACCTAGCAAGCTTGGATATGACAGCGAAATCCTCAGGCTGTAGGTTTAGTTAGATTACCCTTCTCTTAGATGGATCATGCGGGGATAAACGAGCTCGATCTCCTGGATTTGGAGTTGAATTACCCTTCTCCTAGGATGGTTGCTGAGAGACTAATGCGCTCATTTCATCCCTGGATACGCTTTGTCTTTGACCCTCAGCTGAGACTTGTTTGGCGTGAGAGACCCAATCGGAGGCATATGCCACCCTCAGCATAGCTTGCAGTCTTACGAGGAGACGCAAGCTCTTCCGCAGCAATGGGTTGCCCGTAGAGAAGATATATATATCTTGTGTCTTAGTGACTGCATCTATGAGGCACAGATTATTTGGATTTTTGTATGAAATCATGAATTACTCTTTCATGAATTTACTAATCATACTAAAGCGAAAGGATGCAACAATAACAATGTGAAATTGGAAGGAGCAGAATAAAAAGTTCAAATTTGAATGACTTTTCAGGAATAATACACCGCAATTTGAGGTTATAATGGATCGGCCATATCATGATCGACGTTATTGCATCGATTTCACTAAAATTACTCGAGAACTGAATTGGAAAAGCATCACTCCTTTCAAGGATGGTCTGCAGAGAACTATAAAACATTACCTCACCGAATATTGTAATAAAGAATTCTAAGAGACTTACTAAGGAATTTCAATTGTTATACAGCAATATTTCTCAGTTTTAGTGCCGGCAGGTTCTTGGCAGAAAATTAAATTCTAAAATTAAAAATGCAAATTGAAGGGAATGAAATGATTACTTCCTGAATACTTTTATTAAATGAAAAAACTTATTTCTCTCCACTTTCAACAAAGTTTTAAGCAAAACTGCGAGAAAAAGAGGAAAAGGGAATGGGAAAGAATACAGTGTTCTTGGCATGGCACAGAAGCCATTACCCGCTATTTTCACTGCAGCATGAATCCCAGAAGTTGAAGTCCCGAGTTGTCCCAGATATCTGTTCACAGGGTCTGTTATCCATTCTTATCTCGATACTTCGGAATATTGCAGAGACAGTAATACCCTAATTAGCTCTCCGAAATAACTCATTGATCGACTTTAGCCATTTATCAACCGAATCAACAAGTTTGAAAGTTGCGGGAATTTAATGAACAATCCCACAAGAATCATAAATAGGAAAAAAAAAACGATTCAAACAGGCATGCAAAAAGCGATGAGTCATTGGTACAAACTCGATCAGCTCTAAAAACACTGTCTCGTTATGTGTTCTTTTCTGTTAGTTCCTATCTAATGCAAATTACGATCAATTCAGCCATTTAGTTTTTTTTTTCTTGAAATTTCCGATGGCACTTAATATATGTGAAAATTAGGGATATACCCTTGATTCAAGAAACTGTTGGTACTAATGTTACTCATTTACAGCAAGGAGGGTTCCATGGCAGAGATGATGCGATAAACTACAGGGAGCTTAGGTTAGATGGACAAATTAAATCAGGATTAAGCTGAATCGGATTAATCTTATTTGGACTGAATTAATTGCATTTGAATTGAATCAAATTAAACACAATTTAATTGATGGCATTCATAGCCTTTCAGTATGAAAATTAACTGTTAAAAAATTTGATGAACATATTTTAAAGTCACATGAAAAAGGACTTCTCATTTGACAATGTTTTGAGACACCCAAGGGAAATTAATTCTCGAAATGTTACTTTACACATGTCAAATGAATCATTCATAATGATATTGGTCCAGTATTGAGAAATACTCGATCGATTTTCTGTCATTTTTTNTTTTCTACTAAAG